AAATTATTGTATTATTTTTTAGCAAAGAGCAAGTAAAAAAACTCAAAAACAATCAAAAAAATATTGACATGTGGATTTACACAATAACAAAAAGAGAATTTAAACATTTCTGAAGAAAGTATTCTTTTTCTTCTTTTTTTTTTTTTTTTTTTTGCATTATCATTATTTAGTATTATTTTTTGGAAAATGGTAGCATTATTCACAGAGTTTGTAAAAATTTTTTTTTAGGAATGTTAGGTATTTCTCAATCAAGAGTTTTTATCTTCACAACAATTTAATTGTTGTGAAGATAAAAAGAAAGAAGAAAACTTTCATTTTTTAATCTTACTGTCTATAGTTGTGGATTGAGTATACTGGTGAAAGAAATGATAATTGTATTGCATCAGTGTTGGTAAAGGTTTTACAGCAATTAGTTTTAGAATATCCAAATGTAACATAAATTGTTGTGGTCTGACTCATGTATACCACAGAATAGAAATTTGCTTTAAAAGGGTTTATGCTAGAAAATACACAAATTACCAATTACTCAAAATTTTTTTAAAAAAGGTTGTATGAAAAAGGTTCTTTTGTGCAACAAGTTGATAATGCTCATAGGAATAAAAACTTCTGTCATCATAGAAATGAAGTATACAACCTAATTAGCTTAGTTGTTGTCTTAGAAGGAAGCCCTAACACTTAGAAGAAAGCCCTAACTATCCTTCAGATGAGATTTACAAATTTTTTTAACTTTAAAAATAATATATTATTTTTAAAGTTAAAAAAATAATTTTTTTAACTATAAAAATAAAAATTATCAAAGACTATGAATTTTTTGAAGATCAAATAACTAAGATATCATTCAAATAAGCCATAATTTGAAGAAATGTGTGTAAGTATTTTGAAAAAAGAAAGTACATTACCAGTTGGCACAAAAATATATTTGTAGGAAATAGTTTCAATCTCTAGTGCCTTATTAACAACATCAACATTCCCTAAAAAACTAAAAAGTTATAAAGTCATTGTTTTATGCCTTTAATTGACTGTGCTTTTTATAAAAATCTTAAAATTTTAATAAATCAATCTTAAAATAAAAACTTTTTTCTGACACAAAAAATTTTTGTTGAAATAATCTTTGATAATTACTATATGTTGAAATTGTATGATATTGTTTTTGTAAAGTTTACTTTTTAATATCCACTTTTACAATGCAAACATTAGTACTGTCGTGCCCTTCTTTGGTAATATTAAAAAAATTTGTTTGAATTTTTAAAGACATGTTAGAAAAAATAACTTTGACTCATGTTAGAAAATATAACTTTGTTATACACTTCTTTTCAACATTTTTGGAAGTTAAAACAAATAAGCACTCGGGTTTTGAATATTAAGTTAGGTAAGGAATAAAAAATTTTGTTTTTTGAAATGTTTGTTTAATAATTCAAAACTCATTAAGATTTTAATGAAGAAGATTTTATGAAAAGAAATATTAGATAAGTATTATTTTTTATAAAAACTATAAAATACAACTCTCTCATCTTTAATAATAATTTAAAAACGCTCTTTTTCTGAATATTTAAGTTTATATATGGCTCTAGTATCAAAACTTCCCATAAAGTTTTAATGTGTTCTTGTTTATACATGAGATGAGAAATGTAATTATTGTATACCTATTATAATATGTCTATTTGTTATTTATATATCTATTTATTATATATATTATCTATTTGTTATTTATTATAGTATTATTATGAAAAGTTTAAATTAAAAATTGTGCATTAAATATCAAAGTTGCTTTTAATTGTTAACTTTTTTTTTTTAAATCTTTCTTGTGTAGATAATGCAAGTCAATCAGAATTTAATGATTTTATTGAAGAAATTAATTTAATGAAAGAAATTGGATTCCATAAGAATGTTGTTAACATGATCGGTTATTCTACAGTTAAAAAACCCTATTTTATAGTTTTTGAGTTTATGGAAAATGGAGATTTGTTGCATTTCTTGAGAAATAGACGGAAAAAAGTAAGATACATTTTACATATATTTTTTTTGTTACAAAAATTTTTCCCCATTATCATCAGACACAATTTTATGTCTTTATCTTGTTCCTGCGATGATTTTTTGAATCTTTTAATACAAATTTGCTTGCAGATTTCACAAATGACTTTTTACGATATTATTTTGATTATATTTACAGGAATTTTATTCAATTATTCAGTTCTTATTCAATAATGATTTTGTAGTGCTTTTGGTTTAATTTTTTTAATGTTTTGATAACTATTTCAGTTTATAAGTTTTATTATGTGCAATTATCAAGATAAACAGAAATTTCAGTTATACATAAAGGATGCAGAGGGCAAATTACATAATACACATAAACACGAATGACAAATTAAAACTTTGAATTTTTGAGAGTACTAACAATTTATAAAATTAAGTTTGTAAAATTGATAATATTATTTAAAGTTTTATAAATAATAAGATTTCAAAAGGAGAATTGTGGTAATTTTTATTGGATACAAATTTATAGAGTTTTATGAAAAATTTTGAAGCTTATCTTAGATTTATTATTATTCTTTAGACCTAATTTTTTTTGTTTTTTTAATTTATTTCTTAAAAACAAGAGTTGTTTAGTAACTTAGTAACTGTTACTTAGTAACTGTAACTTTAACACTTGAACGCAAGTCATTTCAAGTTTTATGCTAAAAAGTCAAATAATCATATTACACGTTGCTAATAGGCAATCACAGTAACCATTCCTAGTTTGGCATTCGCACTTGTAAACTTGTCAGGTTCTTTTTTTTAAAATAGAATATTTAACCATGTAAATGTTATAAATTGATTTTTTGAATAACTTGTTTATTTTGTGATGTTAAACATAATAGTTAAATTAAATATAAAAGTTTCAACTGCAATGACCAAACTTTACAATGATTTTCTAGACTGTTATACTGGTATAAACCTTTTAGGCAGCCAGGAGTACAATTTATTGTTTTTATTTTTCAGTTAAATTAATTAATTTTTTGAAGTAAATATTTATTCCAATTATCCTGGGAAAAGAGCAATCCACAGATAAAAGCTTCAAATAAGTCTTATAACAATGGCTTCTGTAAATTTTGTTCTGTGGACATAATATTTCAGCTGGTGTAACCCAGATTAATCTACATTTATAGTCAGAGAAACATGAAAATCAGCTAGATCACAGTCTATTTTGTGACAAATTCAGTTGGTTTAACTCTGAAGCTACCTACAAAATGAAAAATATTAAGTACCAAAGACCAAGTAGTTACGCCTGAAATTGTTCATTGTTTAGATATAATTGATTCAAACTGTGCATTTTCTGCAGCTGATGCTGATAATGCTAGATATAAGCGTATGTTTCTGGATTCTAAAATTAACAAAGCATATCAAAAAAAATCTGATAAACTTAAATTATATGATTCAGTTGCATTGGTATTCTTATATTAAAAGAATTATTTGAAATGAGTTGAAATGTTTGCCATTCACATTTCGATTTGATGAAACAACTACATCACAGACAAAAAAGCAATATGATGCTTATGCCATGTACTATTTAATCACTTTCAGCAAATAATATCATCATACTTGGGGACACTGTTTGTAGAAAGGTGTACTGCAGAAGACCTTCTTGGTCATTTTAAAAAGTTGATAGGGAAAATTCAGCTGCAACCAGAGTCAATTCTTCAGATCTTTGCAATGACATCGCAAATAGAGGAAGTGTTTGTTTAATGGTAAAAAAAAATGGTGAACAGTAAAAAAAAAGTTTTATGAAGAAGAAATAAATCAAAAAACATTTTGGTAATAAAAGTTTAAAAAATAAGTGTATAAACAAGAATAAAGGATATAAATAAATAAAAATAAAAAACAAGAAAAAAAAACCAAAACAAATAAAAACAAAGTTATAAGAAAAAGTCTCGGAAAATATAAAATAATTTTTTCTACTGTTAATATTTTATAAAAAAGAAAAGAAAAAGAACAATTTTAATTAATTTTATACATAGTTTATATGTCGTTTATTTATGTATATAAAAAAATGTATTTATTTGATTTAGTTGAATGTATTTATTTTTTTTGAATTTTTCTCTGTCAATTTAGTTGTTGCTTTTTCTTTATCTTGTAATTTACTTTTGTTTAACTAATCAATGTAATGCGTAATATAGGCTTTAATATTGTATGTAGTAATGTATATTTATAATATTTTTTTATTATTTAAATTTGCTTTTATTTTGCTTTTTTATATTTTTCTGCAAAAAAAATTTTCTCTCATTTTATCCTTCTGAACTTATGTAATTAAAATTTTTGTTTTCTCTTACATTTTTCAGTTTTCTTTTTCATCTTATCCGTTCATTTTCTCTTTTTTTTTCTTTTTTTTTAGCCTTACTCCTTTATATTTTTGTTCTGATTCCAACTTTTTTAATATTGTTCCACTTCTTTTTTTTTCATTACTTTTATTAATGTAGTTTACTCTCTTTATTCTTTCCTTGTTTTAATATTTTTTTTTAGTTTTATTTGTTTATTTTGTCACTCCATTGACTAGTTTTTAACTATATGAGTGACACCGAACTTTGTAAATTATAATTAAATTTGTAATTTTTGATTTTATGGTAAAATAAAAGGATTTAAAAAAAATTAGATAAAAATTCTCTCCATTAGTATAGACGGTCCCAATGTCAATAAATTGTTCTTAAAAAAATTAGAAACTGATTTAAAAAAAAAAATCATTGTCAATGTTGAGTCATATTCACTCCATACAGTTTCCAATACTTTTTTGGAAGGTTTGAAATCCTTGATTTCTGAGAATATTGATTTGGACCAATTAGCAATTGATTTGCACAGTTCTTTTAAATTTTCTGCAGAATATTTTGCTGTGTAATCATTCACTGAGCTCCAAGGTCAACAGATGTTGAGACATGTCTACTCTTTGGATAAGCAATGCTTATTAAGCATTCAAGACGTATTAGTGAGGGTAATAGAGCAGTTTAACAATTTGCAAGAATATTTTTTAAAAGTTCTACCAAATCAAAAAAAGTTCAATGGTAAAGCAGGTATTGCAACAACTGAAAAATGGTATTAAGAAAGCACTAAATAATAATGTTGCCTGCCATTGTATACTCTGTCATCTTTATTGTTCATGATTTCAAAGTTTTCACAGTTGCATTAGAAACAAAACAGCCAATGATTACAGTCCTGTTCCCAAAAGATGCAGAACCTTTTAAAGAATTTGCTCACAAAGTTTGTTATTGATGATGTTATTCTGCAACCATCCAAATGGTTAAAGCCTATATCAAAGTTGTAACATGCATTTCTTATGAGTTGGTTTTTTATTTTAGTTTTTTTTTATTTTCAAAATTGACTTTGCTAAAATTTATTTTTGAGATAAACAATTTGTAATGTTTTTAGAACAAATGTGAACTTGGTAAGAAAACTGTTTTGGAGCTTGAATCTCTTGATAGCCTTGTTAGCAAAAAAGTCATCAGTTTAATGAAAAACTTTTTGTCCAAAAGCAGTACTTACCTATTGAAGAATCTTCCGCTGGATATCCAAGTGAGTTGTATTTATCGACACGTCATTTAGCCTAACATTTGTATTTTTTTAAGCAATTTATTTTAGCTATTTTTTTATTTTCATAATTTTGTTTATAAAATTTTTTATCATTATTTTATTTTCTATAAGCTGATTTTATTTTCAGGTGACACGTGATTCAATATACTAACATCCTAAGAAACATGATGGCTTGAAAGCATTTGACCGATTATCACAAGAAGTATTTTTAGACTTGAACTAATTGGTTCAAAATGTCTTTAAGAAAACATTTTCTAAGTTTGACTTCTGCAATATTGTCAAGAAAGAGTTTCAAGATTTTCAAAATGATAAATTACTAGATTTTTCAAAGAAAGAAGAATTTTCTCTTAAATCTTTTACAACATGTCCTTTATATTGGGCAACTTGTTATAGCCAGTATGGAATATCAGTTACAAACACTACTGTCAATGTAGATGTTGAATAATATTGGAAAAAAGTAAAGTAACTTTTATTTTATAGGATTTTTCTAATGCATAAAATAATCTTTGTGTTTTTCAGTGAAAATAGATGAAAATAAATAGACTTGATTAAACCAGCCCACTATTCTTCATTTCATAACTAGTTGGTTATTTTACTAGGTTTGCTTTATACAAATAAATATTATATAACTATATTATAGAATATAGGTAACTCCAGCAATGATTGATGGATGCAAAAATTCTCGTTCAGCCTATGAAAAATACTTGGTTGAGAAAAGGAAAAATGAAGTAGACCTTCAAGAAAAAAAGACAAGGAGGCTTTTTTTTGAGTGATTTAAAAAAAAAAAAAAAAGTTTTATTTAAACTTCTTAAATAAATAAATAAAATTGCTTCATCAATTTTAATTTCTTTTTCCATTACACTTAGGCAAAGCGTAACAATAGAAAAAAAAAGATTGAAGATATTGAACACTCCATAAAACAGCTAATTAGGGAAACACACTATTAAAACTTTGCGTTGCAAAAATATTAAGGGTTGTATTCCTAGAAGGCCAACAAAAATTAGAGTTGGATCAGAAACTTAAAAGAAAACTAGAATAAAAAAGTATATATAATAATAAAGTGCATAGTTGGATATGGAAATAGGAAAGAAAAGAAAACTAGAATAAAAGAAAAATAATAAAATAAAAATAATAAAAGAAAAAATTAAAATAATGAAAGACTGTTCACAATTGAAAAATTTTTTAAAATAGAAAAAATGTTCTTGTTTTCAATTCTTTTTTTAAAAAAATAAAGTTTAAGATATAAATGTTTACAAGTATAAATTATAAAATAAACAAAACATAAGGTAATTATTATAAAAATAAGATTCTTAAATTACAATTAACTAAAAATTATAATATAAGTACTAAGATAAGTTAAACCCAAAATATTATAAGTATAAAGTAAACTTTAAATACGCATCTTGGGATGCGTTTATGCTCTATTAAATTTTATTTATATATAAATAAAATTTAAATGGATATATATATATATATATATATATATATATATATATATATATATATATATATATATATATATATATATATATATATTATATATATATATATATATACAGTTTTTACTGTTTAAAAAATTGTCTTGTTGTTTTTACCAATGAATTAAACCTGCTATTTTATTTTTGAAAGAATTAAATCTGAGTTTTGATGCATCTTGTCATTGTTCCAATAGTTTGATATTCTGTTTAATAATTTGTTTCTAATGGTTTTGTTTTTTGAGCCTTTGTTTAAATATCTCTCTTCTAATTTTCATGTTGTTTCATTTTCTAGTTATTACAAAATCATTGATAGGATTGAGGAAATTTGTTCTATTGAATCCTTTCATATCTAAATCTTTCTTCATACAATACAATAAACCTTTTTGTCAATTTTGTGACTTTATGTTGAATTTTTTTATTTTTATCTTTTCACATTTTCTAAAAAGATTCCTTATTTTAAGATGAGTTCATATTATTGTTTTACAGAAATATTTTTTGATGTTTCATTTAAATATTTTAAAAAGTGTTTCATCAATCCAAATTGTTAATTTGCTTTATTTATAACGATTTTTGTGTGAGGTTAAAATTATTTGTTATAGTTTTTTTTATATAAAATAGTTTTTTTTTGAATATAAAATAGAATCTGAAACTTTCAATTTCTAGTTTTTACTCACTTAAATTTAATTTACCATTTATTTGACCGCTTGTTCATCTGTATCATTTAGAAGATTCTTGTGATTCCATACTTTTTTGTATCAAAGCTATTTAGAATATTGTTGATACAAAAATTGAATGTTGAACACAAATCATTTATGAAAATAACAAATAATAGTGAATGTTGAACGCATAAATCATTTTTGATAATAATAAATAATAGAACTTATAACACTTTACCATTTAGATACTTTACCAGATACATGTTATCTTGGCGTTATCATAATTATCAGATACATGTTATCATAATTATCAGATACATGCTATCCTTGTACTACTCACTGCATTTTATTGCTAAAAGTTTTTTTTACACCTATTCAATAATTTATTTTGAATACAGAGTGCTTTTAGTTTCACCAAGAGCTGTAGATATGCTTTTGCAAAATTCAGAACATCATTTAGCACCTCTGCTAGTGCTCTGGAAATTAATTCAAATATTTCAAATAAATTTGTTATTGATATATAACATAACATTGATAATATACATGATAATAATGATATGATATAACAACTTTTACTGTTAACAAAAGGGTGTGGCTGAAAATTATTTAGCTTGTTTTTTATAAAAAAAAAATCATTTTTTTTCTTGTTGTTTTTTTCATTATTTTGCAAACTATTGAGGATATTAAAGCTATTGAAATCAGTTGATAGTTTTTTGTATCAAGTTTATTTCCTTTTTGAGTAAAAACCAAATTTTAGGTAGATTACCAGTTTCTCCACAATTTTTAAATATAATGGTTTTGCCAACTCTGCTGATCATTTTTTTAAAACTTTTAGATGAATCTTAGTAGCTTCAATTATTTTTTTTAGTTCTTATTCACTCCCAACAATGCTGCAAGCAACCACTGTAAAGCTGGGGGTTACTAGATAACAAAGAATAAAAGGCATTTGTTTTTTTTAGAAATAAAAAGAGATGCAACTTTAGGACAATGGGTGAGAGACTCAAGTTTGAAAAATAAAGCATGTCTAACTATGTTTACAATGCATTTTTAAACCTTAGTTAAAAGAAAAAGAGCATCATTAGAAGAACCAACTCAAAGCTCCAACCTAATTAGCTCCAAAATATTAGCAACAGTATTCCATACAGTTTCTAATAAGAGATTTGTAGAGTTAGAGAATTGTATCTGAAGTAATGGCAAGTAGAATAAGAAGAGGCAACCTTAGTAGATTTTGACTTTGCAATGGAGTGGTATATGGTTTCCATGAGAGATCATAGTGAACAAAAATCCAAGAAGGCATAGAAAAGAGGATTTATTGAGAAGGTTTATTAATAATGGAATGTTGACAGTATTGTGATAGTTGGTTTATTAGTATTCAAAATTTTCTTCTTTTTTTTTTTTGATGATATTAACACTAAATTTTGGTTCTTACTTGAAAAAATCTACAAATTTGTTTACCTTTTTCTTAACACTAACTGAAAAAACTCAATTGTTTTCAGTTAAGTCTAAAGAGTTTGCTATTCAAACGTTACTTTTTTTTTTTTTTTTTTTAATAAAATGTTGAATTTATCAACAAAAAAAATGTAACTGATAAAGTTATTTGTTTATCTGTTACATATTTAGTTTCATTATACCATTCAGTTTATCATTCATTCAGTCAACTTTTTAATGTATAGTATAGCTTGTACATTTATTTTTTAAATATATCTATATAAGCACCTTTGATAGATTCAATAAAAGATAAATTTTCAAGCTTATGCTTTTTTGTTAGATATAGGTGTAGAATTATAATCTTTCCTGTATAGAAGCCTTGAAATCAGCTTTCAAAGTTTATTGATCAATTTCTATTCAAAAATTAATAGCTGAGACTATAAGGCTCACTATTTTTTACCAAACTCAGTCCAGGTCAACATTGGTACATTCTAAAAATAAATTATTTTTATTAGAAGTTTGTTTTTATTGTAGATACGCTTTAAATGAAAAATTAATAACCTTCTTGTGCAGTTGCTATATTAAAATGAATTCTTTTTTTATATATATTTTTTTTACATTCCATCTCTAATTCATAGCCCTGTCCTTATTACCTCTCCCAAGAATAAAGCAGAATTATTTGCAAAGAACTTTTCCTGTAATTTGAATTTTTGAAATTTTATTTCTTAAATTCTTGAATCTAAATGTGATACTCTTCCTGCCATATCAGTTAAACAGATTAACCCATTATTGGTCATCTAAATCAATGTGGCTTCTAATACTCAAGTAAATTTTCAATTAAACTGCTCTCTTGTGGTCAAGACAAAATTTTAATCATAGTCTTACAAAAGTGTTCTCCAGAACTCTGTTTAATTCTCTCTAAACTATTTAAAAAGTAATAAGTATGTGATTCCAATTTTTAAAAATTTTAGAAAACACTCTGACCTCTACTATTCTCCGGTTAGTCTTCTCTTTTTTATTAGCTTCTTTATATAAAACTTTTGAGATTATAAATCATTTCTAACCACAGTAATAAAGTCATCCTCGAAAGTCTACACTCTTTTTTCATTTTCAGTAACTTAAGGGGTACCGTAAGGTTCTATTTTTGCTCCTGTATTATTGTTTCTTATCTACATTAACTTCCTTCTTATCTTACTTCTAAAGTTAACAACTCAACTTTATATTTTTGTCTTGACAAAAAAGTCTTCACTTTTTGATCACTTATAACAAGCAGCTTATCTTGGTTGATCATGAATCTGATCTCTCTTTTGTAACTATGTAACTTTTGTAAGCTATGTTTATGGTATAAAAAATTTTATTTTTCTAGTTTTTTCCTATAAAAATAATGCTTTGAAAATCTCACCCATCTTTATGTTTTCCCGACTTATACACCTACAACTTTTTAAGTCTTTAGTTAACCAATTTAACTAAAGACTTAAAAAGATTTTTTATATCGGTTGTTTGCAATCTTGTTGGAAGTGAGTTAGTATAAAAATGTACATTGGTTCAAGGGTTGTTTTTAGTTGTTTCAAGATTTGGCATTTAGAATAAACTCCCAATTATTTTATTTGAAAAATTATACAAAGTTTTTTAGAAAAATATTGATTTTATTTTTAAGAATGTATTTTTTTTTTTTTACCTGTTTCTCATTTATCCGAAAAATACTTTGTTACAACAACTTTTATAAACTTCATCTTTTTTAAACTTCATTTTTATAAACTTTACTTTTTTTTTGCAAATTATTTTCTGTTGTAAGTCTAGATACATTTATAACGTATCTATAATTATCACCACAATTTTGATTGCAGCTTATTGCATCAAAAGTTCATGGAGAGTTATCTAAAAATTTTGTATACCGTGAAAGCTACCAACAATCTCTTGAGGTTACTAAATTATATTTTTATTTTTAAGTTTTTTAATTTAATTGTTGAATTTTTATTGATAAAGTATTTACTTTGTCATAGAAAAAGATAAATGAAAGTTGTACCCCTGGGTTGTTATCATTTGATAATAATGAAGATAAGAATGAATGGATAACACCTGATGATCTTCTTTATTTTGCCTGGCAAGTGGCATCTGGAATGGTACAAGTTAAACTACATCATTATTTTTTATTAATATGACTTCTAGGTTATTCAATTTATATTTTTTTTCACAGGAATATCTTTCAAATAAAAAGTTAGTTCATCGAGATCTGGCAGCAAGAAATATTTTGGTAGGAGATGAGAAAAACGTTAAAATATCAGATTTTGGTTTATCTCGAAAAATCAATAATGAATTAATTTACATCACAGAAAAACATTTTCGTTTACCAATCAAGTGGATGTCAATTGAAGCTATAAATGACCAAATGTTCACAACATTTAGTGATGTGTAATTTTAAATGTTGTTTTTAAGTTTATTTTATTATGTTAAATATCATATTTTAAAATAGTAATTTATTAAATATCGCACATATCATTTATTAAATTTTATATATTTATTTTATATTTATTATTTTGTATTTATTTTAAACTATGTTAAAGTTTAAAAAAATTTTTAATGGACTCAAAACGCTAAAGTTTACTCAAAAATGGTAATTTGTACTTTATACTGAACTAACTGTTAACTAATAACAAACCAGTAATTTTTACTTCATATAACTATTGGCGTTTTTAAACTATTTAATTGTTTGTTAAAGATCGTTAAATATAGTTAACAGTTATTGACCTATCCTAGCAGAATTTTTTAATTTAGTTAGTTTATAATTTTAATATTAAAAATATTTTATTTTATCAAGTTCCATTGATAATGAATAAATAAATAAAGATTTATTGAAACGAGTTTAAAAATTACATGTTCTAAAGGACATACAGGTCCAATAAATGGATACTGACAATATGCCCCTAAATAAGGTAACAAATTACATATGAAGCAAATATAGTTTATAATTAAAACATTCAAGGTTTTATTCATTCATTTACTTTATAGACAGTGTTTATCGAAATTGCAGGATTTTATTTTATTTTTAAAAATACAAATGTTATCAGCATTTACAGCTTCTGATGTCAGATTATTCCAGATATTTACAACTCGTTGAAAAAAACAATATTTGCGAATGTTGAATTGACATTGTTGTTTGTGAATCTCATAAGTATGACCATGGGTATATTTATTATTAGTAATTTCGAAAAACAAACTTTTATCTATGCAAACCAAATTATGCATAATTTTGAAACATATAACTAAATCATGTTTTAAACATCTGAGTTCCAGAGAATCCAAACCAAGCAGTTGTAAATGGCTAGAATAACTTAAACAACTAAGATTAGCAAATTTTTTTTGTGAATTGTTTTCGAATATT